AAGAGGTGACCCTAAAAGCATGGTTAAGGCTTCTAAAGATCGAAATGAATCTTCTCTAGTAAAGATATTTGAACAAAAATAACATATATATATATATATATATACAATTAACGTTGAATAAAGAATGTAATAATGATGAAAGAAATTTACCTTTCAAATATTTTTCCAAACATATTCGCACACTCTTTTCGCATTAATATGAAGTCTCCATGATCCTGTATTTCACTCGCATGTTGATTAGATGTAACTAACTTATTCTCACTGTGCACATCCAATTTATCATTTGTTGGCAATGGCCCGTAAGCCAATTGTAATAAAGCAGAATAAAAATCCGTGAGATGTCTTGCACGTATTATAGAAGATACGGTTGTAAACATTGTCGGCTTTAATGATGATGAATATGTAATCTTCATCAATGATTGCATTAACTTAAATAAATAAATATAACGTGATTGTGGTGGTAATTTTTTTTCAGCTTCGTTTGTAGAGTTATTTGAAAATTCTGGAATTAAATATTACATTCAGTTAGGAGTTATAGGCTATGAAAATTAACGGGATTTAAAACATACCACGCTGAAATTGTCTTGAGCGAGTTCTTCGTGAAATCGGAATACCAACACCAGACATAAGACAAGGATATATTCCCCAACTAATCACTATCTCGAGCATCGTATGGATAAGACTCATATCTTTTATACCCAATAATTCAGGCTCATCGGCTTTTTTGTTCTCTTAAACGAAATAAAATTTCAGTATTAATTATGGCATAATTTACTCTTAAATATAAAACATATTTTATTATACCTTTAAGATCAATAATGTTTATCAATGTCGTTTCTAAAGATCCCAAAATTTCTAAACATTTTTCTACAAATTTCTCTCTTACGCTTATATTAGAGAGCTCCTTTTGTATAGCTGACTCGGCGGTAATTGTGCTAATTTCATCAGTTTCATGTGCGCATTCATTAGATTTTAATTGGTTTAATCTCGAACTTAGCTTTCCTTCTAGCGAGCCAACTAAAACCATATAAGATACGCATTTGTATAATTAAATGAATAATTTAATGATATACTAAAGTGATTAATTCTATTCAGAAAATACCTCGATTTTCTTCGTTCG